TATTTATTTATTTATATCATATGGCAGGCGTCTTGATGGTTATTATTAACCCTTTAGTTGACCTCAGGCTTCACAGAAGAGAAGGAACATCAAATTGAAAAAAGTCGAGAGGAGGGGACAGAAGAGTGTTTCAAAGATGTAGGAGACAAACACAAAGGTAGAAAAAAGGTGAGGTGAATACTGTGGAAATAGTCGAATATGGCATAGAGTGAGGTGATGGTAGTTTGAAATGAGAAGTCAACTGCCAGTTAATAGACGTTAAATATACGTTGCCCAGGGTGCACCACGTGAAGGTAAGTCTATCGCACACCCCCGGAAAGCCAAAACTAATATTAGACATCAGATATTTCGAAGGACAAATCACGAAACACCCATATCACCTTAAAATTCATTCAATTTATTTTTCAAATAAAACTTTTTAGAAAATTTCTTATTTATTCGAAAGTTTTGTTGACGTTGCCTCTGGAATAGAGACGTCAAGGAACCTTCTCAAAATCATATAAGTTATAAATAAGAGCAATTATATTGAGGAAAATGTCTTTGATTTCACCAAGTGGTATTTCCTGAATTTGCTACTTAAAGAGATTCAAAATCAAGCGCTAGTAAAGCTGCGAATTTTCACCATTTGTATACCATCAGTTTCTTGGGAATTGGGGGAAAAATAGTTGATCAATTGTCCCATTTATTAAATATTTATGCGGCCTTTGATATCTCGCAAAATAAATTTTAAAAATTCTGCGCGTAAATGCTGAAATTGAGGCTCGAACTGTGTACGTCATTCAATTTTTCTCCTCTTAATCCTCATTGGCCAATTTGCTATTCACATCTTCTAAAGCTTTTCCACAACGAAGAATTGTTCATTTTTTCCCAACTACACGCAATAAATAAAGCTCTACAATGACTTGGAAGATTAGCTGCCTAAACGCTTCATCCTTAACAAACGCATCTTTAACTTGCTCTTTACAAGTGGAACAGTAATGCGACCTACTTCTTGGGCTGTAATATTGGCAAATTATTACTTGATTAACGATTTCATATTAAGCGAAATGAAAAATTACGCTTTCTGAAGTGAAAAAGATCACTGATTGTGGTAAATTTCATCATAGCAGACTCTCGTTGATAATTTTACTAGATGACAAGTTAATTTAAATGCTCGACTGCATTTTTTAATAAAGGTTAGGTAAAGGAACGAAATATTCACCTGAAAGATTTTACTAAGAACAAATTCTCACGACTCACTTCCGATGACCTGATTTGCACGTGATAGAGCTTCCTTCGGTTCATAAAGGTCTTGGTTGACCTCCAAACAAAGTCTCTTAATGGTGCAAAAGACACGACGGTACTCCAAATTAAAAAAATCAGAAAATTCACCATTTTTAATTTTCTAACTATTTATGCCCATTATTAACAATTACACATCCACTAAAGGTATTTTGGCTTACCATTAACTGATCTGCTTTCGATCATATGAATTGAAAAAGGCAAAGCAAAGTGAAATGACAGATATTTTTGATCAAAAGAAATGAAAAACAATCGCAAATTCAGCGCTTCTTGGTGTCGACAATCGTGTCGTCTGAAGCGAGACTGGGAGTGAAATTCTGGCTGACAGTTGATCTTAGAGGTCGAAGAAGAACGAGATGCACATGAGTTCCAGCATTACGGAGAAGTTGAACAGCCATTTCGTGAGACGCATTGCCCAACTCTTGGCCATTTACCTTAAAACAAAATAAAAATCAGAAGTTGGAAACACCTTTATTGAAATGGACAACCTCCCCCCCCCCTCCAACCCCCAGTTCAAATGAAAGGAGAAATGTACGACAATCTTTAACGTTCTCTTCAATAAACATGTATGCATTTAGTGAAATAGAAATGAAAGACGTTTTACTTAAAACACGATTGAGACCAAAGTTAAGTAAAGATTCCCAAAAGTAAGTAGGACTACACAGATCATGAATATTCGTTATACTCTGTAAAAGTGGAGACAGCCTTCGACTCACTTACGTCAATTAAACAGTGAGCACAGTAAATCGATCTATTCTTTCAGACTTCGAGTCATGAAATTAAAATGATATTCGATAAAAACGACCGTTGAAAGATGGGAAATCTATTCATCTCCTTCCTTATTTCCAATATCCATTTATTTCTAGCAAATGGCAGGTTTTATGATAGTTATCATTAACCCCTTAGTCGAATTCGGATTTCACAGAGAGGAGGAACATCAAAGCCACAAAAGTCGAGAGTGGAAAGAAAAGAGTGATTCAAAGACGTAAAGGAGACAGATACAATGGTAGAGAGTAGTGTAAGGTGAGCACTGTGGAAGCGGTGGAGCATGACACAGAGTGGAACCATAGTAGTTTGAAGTCAACTGCCTGTCTATAGACTTTTTCCTGTATGGTTTTACTTTGTCCAGGGTGCACTATGTGTAGGTAAGTTCATCGTGCACCTCTTATTTCCAATATAAGGTGTTGGAATGGGAGTGAGCAACAGTAGTTTGTTATGTTACACGAGAACCAATTAAAACTGAGGCATCTTAAAAAAATTGAGCATTAACTTCCACTGTCACAAATCTAAGGTATATCGTGTTAAAAGCATAAATTCTGTCAAAAATCCAATGCAATTCCTGAAGACAACTGTTGGCCCTAAAATGCCACAAACAGCAGGTAGGTAGGATCATGCGTACATGGAATAAAAAAAATGAGAAAGAGGGGTAATGAGCAGGAAAAGGCGTTCAGTATTGACCGATAAGGAAGTTGACATATTTCGAGTTCTTTGATAAAATTATTAACTGACAATTAGTTATCATCAGAGGACGAGAACCGGTGTTTTCTACATGGTATGGTTGCTGACGTTATTATCAGAGGTATGCGTTGCATGTGCGCACAACACACACACACTTAATAATTATTTGTTTCGAAATGGCAAATGGTATATATTTCTTCATTTCCTATTTCAAACTGTCGGATTCTAAATACAAACAACATTTAATTCTCCTTGTAAGGAATAACTACCAATTTATCAAAGGAAATATGTTTATATACAGAGGTGCCACTTTGTAAGAGATCAAATGGCCATGGCTTCTCAGCTATGGATAAACTGCAGATTTCCTTGGTTCTAGTGACTCTTTCAGAATTGAATTAATGAAATGATGGTATGATTGAGAGAATGGTGCTGGAAGTTGGTCACTTCGCTCTGAATTAACAAGGTTGGACTTGTATAAAATTTGGAAAGGGGAAGGCCTTCAATGCAATTGGTTACACGACCAAATTTCTTCCAAGATTCTTTTAGTCGGAATAGAGTAAATGGTCGTATTTTAAGCCCTTGTGCACATGCTCAATTCCTCCGTCTTTGCCATACTTCTGCCTTTACTGTCAATTGCTCATCAACAAAAATAGCTCATTTCATGTTTGCTTACATCATTTCATTGGGCTAACCATAGCTCTGACTGCCCCATGTTCAATAAGTTCTTCATTCATCCTAATTCAACGTCCTCTATTCTCCATCACCCAATCGTTGACTTACGGCTCTCCAATGAGACAGTGATTCCACCTACCCCTCAGAAATAGTTTGCATGAAGGTCATAAGTTATATAAAAGTATTCTATGTCTAATTTTAGTCGAGGATTCATCAATATACTATCCTAAAGCTCGTGCTTTGTTACGTATTTTAACTTGAAAATAAAGATAATCATCAACCAATTTGTGGTAGAATTAGTTTAATTGAACACTCAAACGTTAAGCTCCTATCCCTTACTTACAATATCTTTTATGTAATTAAGTTAAGAAAGTCTTTTTCGAATTGATGAGAAAACAAAGAACAGTTGCTATCCGCATTTGAGTTGCTCCAATTAATTCAGTAGATATTTAATTTTCTATATATATATATATATATATATGTTTTATATAACATTCTGTCGCTGACCTGTTAATTAATAGTTAGTATAGTGTCAAACAGGTAAAAACAGACGACTTGACAACCAACCTGAATAAGACGATCGCCCGGTTGTATCTGTCCATCCTGTTCAGCTAAACCACCAGGAGTGAGTTTAGTCACATAAATTCCTTCTGGAAATCCCTCTATCATCTGCCCTCCAGCAATTGTAAATCCAAGTCCGATATTCTCCGATGGTTTCACCAGATTAACCTAGCCAAGCAAGTAAAGATTAATTAATAAGATAGTATTCACAAAATTTTAGGATTCTATTGTTATGAAAATTTAATATCAACTTATTATGTATTTTTTTTTAGAAATATTAATTAGTGACAATTGACACTTGGCATTACTTCGAAATACACGTCATCACTGGTAGTTTGATCATCGTTACTCGGAGGTATATTAGTATTGGTTATAGGAGATATAGATTCAATTCCTGAAGAACCAGGTTCAGGTCCGATGTAGCGTCGAATTATCTGGGATTAAATGAATTGTAAGTAAAATAAGGTCTTGAAGATAGGAATGACACAAGTCACGCCATAAGTCATTCAAAAATCTTCTTTTTGTTGTCACTGTATATAGACGACTTCAAGAATTTGCTTATGAGGCATTATATTATTAAATCATCAAGTCAGATTGTGTTTGAATTCCAAGAAAAATAGATAAATCGGATTTAATTCGTATTTTTTAACAATAAATCTCTCTTATTTGACCGCCAAATAGATACAAATTCGTTTAAATATGGTCCTATAGCGTTATCTCCAGCATTCCTTGGATTTCAGTTCATAATAAAAAGATATTCTCTTAAAATATGGTACTCAGTTGCTCAGAATAAATCTAACCATAGCCAATGTGTCACCCGATTCCTTCAGTATCCTCACAGCCTCCTGATTTGACACGTAGTTTAGGTCAGTTCCATTTACTGAGACTATCCGATCGAATGGCCTGAAAATGGAAATTCTCATTTATTCAATAACACAAATACAATATTAACATTACTTAAATGATTATAAGTAGAGATCTATTTGTGATCTAAGGAGACATACTGTAGGCGACCATCAGCTTCTGCAATTCCGCCTGGAGCAATGCGAGTAATAAATACACTTGAATCGCCGTTTTCTTGTTGAGCATCGTAGCCGCCTGCGATACTAAAACCGAAGCTCTGGTTTTGGCCATGAGGCCGGGATATCACAACCTCGACATATTCCCAATCCCCAGGAGAAAATGAACCTGCATTGAAGAATAGATGAAACGATCACTAGCTTAAAGATTAAAAGTTCAATTCCTGGGTTAAGCAAAGTACAATTAGCAGAATTAAAGATTGTCAACTTACCATCGCGAAAAGAAGAGTTTGCCATTGGAAACTCCCTGCTAGGATCGGCATCGCTTAACTACAATTAAGCATGAATATTAAATAATCAAATGAATAAAGTTTATAAGTATAAAATAACTCCCAACTGATCCTAAAATAGTCGCAATTATAAGTTATGCACTCACTTGGTTTATATCTTCAGATGGAATTTGAAAATCAGTGTCAATTTGCTTATTTTGAGAATATAGCATCTGCCTATAATACTCATTAATGTCTACTTTAGGTCATAGAAAAGCAAAACCAACTACCAATTAATGAACTAAAGAGGTCACTTTCAAGAGCCGCAATTAGGCGATTCATGGAATTCTTTAAAGATTTTTCTGCTCCATCGGCGAGTTTGCTATCAAGCTTTTTGAGTAGAGTTAACGCACGATTGGCATCTTTAAATATTCGAAATATGATGAGTTACCCTCTTTACTGAAAGATACTTTGTTCATATTTTGTGTTTATATTATTGAGCATCAGGTAGACCAGACTTTTAACAGCAATATTATCGAAAACTTGATTGAGCGACTAACCTATTATTTTACAACTAAAAATTATAATATCCTACAATTTTAAGTGCGTAGGTATTTATTTCTTGGCCTGTTTTAAGCGTTTAAACAATGAAGGTCAAATTCTAAAAAATAGTTTATTCTTCATCATTTAAGTTTCTCGTATTTACGTGTACAATTATTTAATTAAAGTATATACTTTAATAGACAGATCATTGTCAGTTTTTGAAATAAGCATTCATTGTTAAGATGGCTTACTGATGATTATCGTATGACAATAAATCCCTTCAGTATAATTTCAGAAAAGACGATAAAATTTTAAAATATTTATTTGTTATATCTCGTCTATATTTTTGAATAAATGGATTTGAAATAATTGTTCTTTCAATACATATATTATTTTCTTTTATAAGTTAATGGTTAATTTAAATCCGGTTATGCAAACCTAGACTTAACGTTACTAAGAAGGCAGCGGGTAACGCAATGTGGAATTCCTCTCCTATTTTGAATTTCTAGGCAATTTCTAAATCCCCACCTTTTGCTTCTGGACCCTCTGATAAAGTGTACCATTTCAAACATATTGTGCACATCACTATCCGCGCTGTTCAATTATCGCTCCTCTGCATTGTTAACACAACCACATCACCTTTTGTGCTTTTTTTAAGTCGAAGCTCATGCAACTATTGTGAACAGGAAACAAACTTTAGTGTTTATAACTACACAAGGGGGAATTGATATTAAATGAACAATTCTCTCAGAGCTGGCCTATCTGGGAGGACCTGATTTCGATGACCTAAGTTATATAATTTCATTTTATCTTTTCCTGGTACGATTTTGAAATCGAATTAATATTTATTGGTCATAAATTAAATTATGGCGATCGTATTTTCACTAACTTTTTAATACCAAAGTCTTTAAATGGTGCATAATTTAAGTTTAAGTATGTAATTTTAACGGTTAAAGATAGTAAAGGAACTTTTCTACATCCAGTATTATGCATGAAGGCCGTTAATGTGCATTTATCTCATTCTTGGCCAAATAGGGTTTAGTGAAAGTAACTGCACTGAATAATGATAGTCGTTTAAAGTACGCAATGCCATTTTTGCTAAATATGCGTCATTATTTGGATTCATTATATAATATAACTCACTGCAATATATAATTATATAATTTATACAGTTCCAAACATTTGAATACGCTTGAACTTGAACACTCCTATGAGAAGTCCATGGAGAAGAGATGCAGGATTTAGAACAAATTGAGTACACAGTATGGGTATCATAAGATGTCAGCCTATTTAATTTTTAAATTCAGGTTATATTCCAAGTTATTTCAATTTCATTCACTGTCATGAGTAGTCTAGGACAAAGTTAACCGGATTTTGTAAGGAGAATCATCGTCATAAGCCTGAACCAAATTATATCAGATTGAACATCCCCTTCATCACCTTCTGTGCGGTTACCAATTAAAGGGGGGGGGGAGAAACACATAAATTTTTAGATAAACTAAAAGTAGACTCGACCAAGCCGCAGTCTCAAAAGAGCTGTGGAGCGCATTAAATCGTCTTTAACAAGTGCCAGTCTTTCTTTCTGCAATCATTGCTTACGTTGGTAGGTTATACTGACCGGATAACTGTGCTTTAATATGACCTACAGTGATATCGATATCTCAACACCAGATTATGCAGCGAACTATCAACTTCATAAACTTTGTATCAAAGGTCTCGATTATATTGGCTTCTTGACACTCAGATGCAAGAGTGCCTTCGCAAAGATAATGGCCCTGCTCAGTTCTGACTTACCGCTCCTCGCTATTACCAAAATTTACTAATAATTATGTTTGATGTTATCTCCCAAGACTTTTCTGTTGGTTCATAAAAATCTTATGCTGAACTCCTGCCACTTTTGTTAAGAATTGCAGTTGATTCAAAAGAGGAGCCCTTGGCCACCATTTCCACGGTTACATTATTCTAAAACTTCCTCTACTTTCGGGACCTCACTCTATTAGAGGATTAAAAACCCTGATCGAGAATTTGCACTGCAAGATAACTTCAGGAGTGATCAATCCTTCCCCTTGGCAACGATTATGATATTGAATATTGGAAGTTGACAGAATTTGAAAAGACGGAATGTTCTACTCCTCTCGGTTACAATCAGAAATACCCATATAGAACATAAGTACTCAAAGTCTGACTGTGTAGGACAAGAAGCAACACCTATTACCAGTCGATCTATAAAAATAAGACCCATAACGCCAAAGATTCAGTGCCGGGGAACATAACTAAAGGTATTTAAATAAAATGACCTAAATCAAAGCAGAATTACTATCTATAGAAACTTTATTAATAGCCTGGCAATCTGTCGAAAATTAAATCATATTTCACCTTGAACCTTCAAGCAAACCATATCACAACAGTTCCAACTTAACCATTCGGGTGCTAGGTATATGCAAGCCAGTTCCACGAACGAAGAAATATTTCGTGACGCTGTTTAAAGGTGTTCCAGATGACAACTAGAGGGTAAGTTCTCTTTTAGACATGGAATTTGATGGATCAGCAAATGATCTTTCGAATCTTGTCCTGGTAGATTTTTGATTCAAAGTTCCTCAAAGTCATTTCGCGAAAGTTCATCTATCCAACTAATTGGCCGCCTTCACTACATACCTTAAGTCAATTGACTTTAAGAAATCTTTGTAGCCGATGACGACTTCTAATTTCCTTATGTCACCTGAAGGACTTTTAACAGTGCCAAGCAAATCATTCCGTTTCTTTCAAATAGATTTCTGAGCTTTATATTGGTGATGAATCTCTTGTCGATATACTGTTAACAATTGAAATAGATAATTTCTGACATAGCAAAATGGATAATACGATGGATAGGACGCGAAATTTTCTTCTTAATAGGTATAAAATGACGCCGCGTGTTAATATCAAAATCTGGTTGCTCTATCGGAAGCCTAACCGTTTCGGTACGCAGTCGTGTCTTCTAAGCAGAATTCGATGATGCAGGGGTTCACTTTCCGCCTTGGAAGCTCTAATTTCATAAATTGTAATGCAATCAACAACTCAATAATGGCTCAGGATATTACTGTAATAGAGTTATGGCTAAGTGACACAAACCCCCTAAAATTATAGGCGAGGAGAAAGAGAGGACGAATTTTAGAACATCGTTATTTTCAATATTGAAGTGAAGAATACGCAGAATAAAACAACTTTTTCTTGAAATTCGCATTCAGTTATTTGCTCCATGATATACAGAAAAACTCAGTATAAGATCGTAATTCAATCGATATCCAAATTTATTTTTGGAATTAAAATAGTTGTTGATATTTGTTAATATGTGCTGAAAGTATGCGCTCTCATCAGAGCATAAATTTGAGCGACAACTTCTATTCAGTACTTTTCGAACTTCCATAAGCTTCTTGAACTTGTGGGGTATTTACAAATTATCTAGGCTTTAACGTACTAATTTAATTAAGGGGAATAATAAGTGACATCATGGCATCTTGGTTCAGAATTTTCTCTGAATTATTTCGGCGTCCAGAACTTTTCTTAGCAGAATGATTTGGGACCAGGGCATACTCTTTTTGTCTATTACTCAAAATGATTACAAATTAACCCCAGTAAATTTGAGATGAACTGATGCATGCAATTGCTAAATGTTGGGTTATTGTACTGAGAAAAGAAGTTTTAGAGAGTTTAACCTTTGGGTCACAACCAATCAACTGCGGTACGTCCTCGACATAGCTTAGACTACTAGCATTATTTAAAAAAGTAAAATGCAAAAGAGTTCTATTGAATCAAATTTTATGCTAAGGATTTAACTATTATCTTTATGATTGCAGCGTATTGTTGCAATAATAAGCTTTCACTTATGCTCAGTAATCTCTATAGCAAGATCTTCTTGTCCTAAAGGGCTTTCAGGATTTCTTAGGCTACCGCAATGCTTTAGAGAATACAGAATTATTGCATGGAACCCGCTTATTTTGGTCATGCATTTAAAACAGTGAGCTTATTCATTATAATACAATGGAGGGGCAATTGACTTGCGGTTGGTTGGATAGTCTTCGCTCTCACGACAGCACCTACTTCATACGCGAAGTTGTACGGCGCATCTACAAGCCCCGTCTGAGTGTGCATATGACTCTTCGTTCAGTGATGACAGCGTTGTGAGTTCCGAATGAACCTATATGGTGAATACTTATTTTGTAAATTTTCAGGCTTACCATTTGTGAGAGAACTATATAAATTAAAATTTTTTTCGCAGAATTACTTTCAAAAACTAGACTGCTCTGAAGGGCTGAAAGAAAGTATCTTATGTACCCGGTGGGACATGCTTCAATGAGTGGTGAGCTGCGTATGCCGCAGCCAACGTGTGCGGTGTGCTGCTGATCGTGTTAGGGAGCTTGTGCGGTGTTGAGCACAGAGGGCTCTCAACCAGAAACCAATCAATAGCCCCTGCATTATACAATAAAACCCTTCCTTATATTCTAATAAATAGCTCCGTGGCAGACAGACTCCCTAAATAAACGTATTTGACACTATACATTTGGGAATCTTGCTATTGAGTTTACTGAAGATAAGTCAAAGTTACAATTTTAATTCTATCCAACTAATTATATCTGAATTGTGTTTCAGTCATCCAAACTATCGTATTCAGTAATAAGAAGTTGATTAAAAGTATTTATTTATTTCAAATGGAAGGGGGTTTGATAGTTATCATCAGCCCTTCAGCTGACTTCGGACTTCACAGAGAGGAGAAACATCAAAGTGGGAAAAATTCGGGAGAGGGGAAAAAAGTGTGATTCACAGATGTAAAGAGACAGATGGACACAAATGCAGAGAAAAGGTAAGGTGAGTACTGTAGAGCCGGTAGACTATGACATACAGTGGGGTCATGGTAGTTTGAAGTAAGAAGTCAACTGCCAAATAATAGACCTTTTTGCCGATTGAATATACGTTGCCAGGGGTGCACCACGTAGAGGTAAGTTTATCGCGCACACCTGATTAAAAGTTATTAAAATGCAAAAAATTTGAATCACTTATTTTTATTATTACTTAAATTATTTAACTCAAGATAGTTCAATATTTTATTCCCCAACGTAGCCTTTGGTACTTGATAAACGGGTCTGAATTTAGGTATCAATATCCTATTTTTTATACTGAAAAGTCAATACACCAAAGTGGAAAAATACGAGCGTTAGAATTATAAATTTTGGTTCTGAAGTGACCGTGCAAGACATTACTAACTAGTTGTAAGTGGCATCTTTTCCAATTATTGTCTATCAAGTAAAGTATATGTTTGACTTTCTTACACTTTCAAGCCCACTTTAAAGGGGATTTTCAAAAACTCGAGTATAAAGCAGAGTCATGGAACCTCCTTAGCTCGGTGTCTGATTTCTACTACCCTCATTATTAGAAAGAGGTTAGAAGTACTATTGTCATACAGTAATTTGAAACGGTTCGATGAAAATTAAACTAGTTATTTCTACTGCTGTAGACGGGTGCTGTGACCAATCAGCTAACGGTTATCAAGGCCCATATTTAGAAAAAATTCAGTATAAAAAATTCCAAAAAATTGCTGACTTGTCTATTGCATACGCAATTTTTTAGGTAAATGGATCTCTAATTTTGCTAACGAAATTTCCTTTGATTGAGGGAAATCTGAATTTACCCCAAAAAAATTGCTGAATATTTTAACCAATCCAATAAAGAAAGCACCACAATTTTGGCAACATTCTTGAAAACGTCCTCATTAATATTATATTCTTAGTTTTTTTCCAAATAATTGCGAGGCAAAATAAAATCTTCCAGGAAATTACGCCAGCGAGATTATTGCTAAGTAGACTGGCCACCAAACAGTTTCTTAAAGTCATCGGCGAAAAATGGCTTCACCTCATCGGGGTCACAAAAGTGCAAGTTCTTGCGGACGGTTTACCTTAACCGCGCAGGATTAACCCGATGGCTTTGGGCATTAAAATTGGTTTACTACTTTTATATGCTAAAATCGTTTGTCATGTTAGTTTTTTTTCCAGTCATTCGTGCTGTTTTAGTATAACTCGCATCAAAGCCAACGAAAAACATGTTTTGTTTTGCAAGAAACAAAACTCAAACTCCTTTCTACGAACCTCCCTATCAATTCTTCTGTCCCAGCTGAATAATTCATACCCGCGTTACCTATGTGATGGAGTTAGCGAACAATTACTTTTTAATTCAATAAGACGCTTAAATAATTGAACATCTTATAATCCCCATTATTAGAGTTTTCATAAATTTAAAGATATTTATTGAAGTTTACCTGAATAGCATGCCCTATTTTACCATTGTCCCTATTTCATTTATTTGAAGATCATGAAATAAACGGATGTGTTGCTGCCAAATAATTACGCATTAACTGTTTGGAGTTTCAACATTCTTTTGAATTTTATATTTATGTTTTTTCTATTTTGGAAGTTTAAATTCGTGGAGAAGATACTTTAATTGTATTGAGCTGCCTTGATGCTTGAAAAGATCACGTAAAAGTGCATATCCGCTAGCACAGTGGTGAGGTGACTAAATTCTTCCTTAAATGCTTCCTGTTTCTGGCAGGAATCATCAGCGTTTGGTATGGCAAATGAAGGTGGAATTCAACTTACAGTTATAAGACGCAAAGTCCCTAGACCTAGCAAACCCTTTATGACATATTTAGAGAAAAGAGTATTAAAGTATGACAACATATAGAATATGTCATTATAGTTTCAACTTTCATCTGAACTAAGGTGTAATGACTGGTCGACATTTATCAAAGAGAGTTTATGAATACAACCTAAAATTTCAGATTTATATTGACTTATAATATATAGGTAATAATCCTTAAACATCCTAAGCGCATGCATTAACCTTGAACTCAAAGGTAATTGGCCGAAATAATTTCGGACGTGAAGGTCAAACCCTGGGTTTCAGTTGAACTTTATCGTCATTTTGCAAAAGTGCACAATGAAAATCGCACAGGCAGCTTTAGCAGTAATTTCTTTCTACAATCTCGTATTTTCAGTTGCATCGGAAGCTGATTTCGAGGTTAAAACAGAACTCATCGGTCCAGATCGAGTGAAGCTCACATGGGAGGATACCCCAGAAGCAGATGGGAATATTCCTGCGAGGTATAGAGTTCTCTGCATCGCTCCTAATTCTTCCACAGTTGAGGCGGTGGTAAAAGAGAAGATGGTTGAATTGGATACATTCAAGGAAGGTCTTACTTACAATTGTGAGGTTCATCCAATTTTTGAGGACTTGGTTGTAGGAATGGATGTGATTTCCGCAAACCCGGGAACATCAGCCCCGTTTACGATGGCCTTTCAAACTGATGATCCTGTCACTGAAGAATCTTCTGGCAAGTTAATTCGTGCTAAAACTAATACTGGACTTTCTTCTAATGCACGGAAATTACTTCAATTGAGCTTCCTCAAAGAGAGCATACAAACTTTATTTAAATTGAATCAATAGGGCAAGAAAAATAGTGAAATAAAATTTACTCAGAGCAAGTCAGAAGTAAACAAGTACAAAATCTCCCAGATTCGAATATGAATGTTTGCCAATTTTTGCTCACTTAATTTAATAGAATTAAATGTATGATTTATATCCTAATTAAACAAAATGTATAATTTATCGCTGATTATTACTAAAGGTAGTTTCCTTTTTGTTTCAAAATATAGATTGTTTTGCGGAATTTTGAGCAAATTGCCGAAGTTTTTATATGCCTCTATTCTACCGAATTCGATGGACTTGTAGATATTTTTTTCGGAAAAAATTATGCGATAATAAATTTTAATTTGCATGTCTAATTCATAATTCAACTTTGCCCAATATTTGCCCACTTACCTGCCCAAATGTCTGGAAATTGCTCACGCTACACGACCTTTCATTATTAAACGACAACAATACCTGAATATTCTCCAATTTTAGTGGACGCAAAACGAACATGCATTGCACTACTTTATTGACAAACCCATTAGCAAGATTCTTATCGTCGGTTCAGAGTCGTACATCAAAATTCCTTTTAGGTAGTGTTTAGCAGGCAGGGTGTTCAATTTTATTCAACAATTTCAAATCAGTTCGGAGAAATTTGTAAACGAGTATGCATTGCACAAAATTTTTATCAAACTCATTGACGAAACTATTATTGTCTCTTTAGAGTAGATAGTTGAAATTCCTTTTTGGTAGTGCACGATAGGCAACGCTTTAAATTTTGTTTGCATAAACTAAAAAGTTTAGATAAACTACTTCAAATCTGGTTGATCAACTAGGGAGACATTTTCTAGCCTTCCTTCTTCTGGAGGCTTTTATTTTGTATTTAAAAAAGATTTCGCCAACCGTTCATGTCATCCGAAATTTTCCCGAATTTCCTCAGTCTCAATTATAAATACAAATGGGAAAGTTCTCAAAATAAGCTAGTGAGATTTTCTCTTCTAATAGCTCAGATTTTTCACAATGCACTTTTAAGGGACTAACCTTTTTCACATAAAGACTTGCCAACTACCATCAGGTAAATCTGTCAAGCCGGTCACCTGGTCTATGAGCGGCAGGTACTTTAAAGTCCTTTAAAATTTAATTTAAAGGAAAACTAACATATATTCGAGTATGATAACTAGCACCACAGCCATAACTATATGAATCCACGCGATATTCGGCTGTTTAAATTAGTCCAATTGAAGATAAAATAAGTTCAATCGTTTCAGCCTCTTACAAAAAGTTGACTTTTAATAAGGATCAAGATCATCTTTTCAAATTGTTTATTAGTCAAATTCCGTTCTCATTATTTTGCAAATGAGGAAATATAGGTTTAAGAAACTGTAAACGACCTGTTTCCAGAGCTTGTTACTACTAACCAACAATTTGATGAAAATACTGTTGTCATATGTGTTTTCAAGGGCGTTAAGTATGATATTCGTGGAAATTTTCCCACAAAAAACAGAAAATCCCTATTCCAACGCATGACCACAGTGTCGACGTATCAATGGTTCGGAAATAAGGAAATTATTGTTACTTAAAATGTTATTAAGTCAAAAACAAAACAGTTCCTCAAATTCAGATATTTGTCTTGATTAGATGAAGAAGAAACCTCACCGCCAGTTGAGACTACTCCAATTGAAGAGGAAGTCACGGAGACGCCAATGACAACAGAGCAACCGGAAGAGAGTGACATTCCACAAGTGACTGCTGCACCCAGTGTCCACGCAGAAGTCATTGACGCATTGAGTGCCAAATTAGAGTGGACTGCCGTAGAAGACAACAACATTCCCGCCTCGAGGTACAGAGTAATCTGCAATACGAATGATTCCAGCAGAAAAACAATCCAAATTGCCTCGACGGAGGAAAACTCTGTAGTACTAGACACATTTGAACCCTCTGTAGAGTACACCTGTTCGGTGTATGCTATCTGGGATAATCTCGTGCCGGGTGTAGAAGTTGTCTCATTAGCACCCGGGGTTTCTGTTCCATTCCAAATGCCAAATAGAGGTAAGCCAATGACTGATAGTCAGTCATCTTTATCACAGTATTCAAATGTACTTTAATGCGTTATCAAGCAATTAACCAGTTTTTCAAAATAAACCTTTGAATTTTTCCATATCTGATTGCTATATTTTCACGACTTTAGCCGGCCGTCTACTAATTTGGACAACGTCATTTGTGACTATTTTGACAATGCTCCTTTGTCAAATTCCAACTTTCTAATAAGTAACTAAACCTAGAATATCCACTGAGATGACTATATTAACCCTTAATTGTATTAATCAGTAAAAAAATTAATGACCCAACTTTAAAAAAGCTTTTCTTTTGATATCAATACCTACAAGGGGCGGGGGGGAGAGGTGAACCACTTTCACTCAGAATTGCATGTTTTGGGTGAAGGATGCTTTCTAGTTGGTATAAAAACTAACCAATCGAAAAAATGTACAATCTAGTAAAACTGCTAAAATAAGCCAGCGCAGTTATGGTGTGGTAAGTAGTGAAATAAGTGGAAGCCGAATATCGATCGTTTAAAATCAATATCTCACTACTTATAATGGGTGGTAAGGGCGTAATAAAATTATTATCACCATCATATATTCCACTATATTGGTTTAAACCTCTCCCATTAATCACGATTCAAGGCAAATTATTATTTGTCGATGAATGATCGACAACTCTTACTTACATACAAATAATCAGGTAAAGACGAAAACGGTTGATATGATTTTAAAACCGTCCTTACATATTTCATTTTAGACTCGTTGGGGATGGAAACTGTAATAAGTCAGCTGTAACGATTTCGTAACTGATATTGAAACCGCTCCAACATTAGTCAATTTGACAGTCTGCGTAGGATCCAGCCTATTCATATAAAATGAAAGTCAATAGCTTCCATTAAGTTCATTATCCTCTGCAAATGTGCAGATTTGCAATTGTTAATAAGTAGCACCAAATGCTTTCAATATACCCTAGCTACGTTCACTCACAACACCACCGATTACTGAATCCATATGCTCGTACCTTGGGAACAAACCCTCGTCCACGCTGCAAATAGTCACTTATCAACTTAACATAAGTGTGGTCATTTGGGGTACAAATTTCTTCAGTTCCTTCTCTTCAGTAGGAGCAAAATTTTCCCTGGTATGCTACGATAGAAAGGTTGGACTATATAGGCAACCACAAAACCGTTACACCAATGGCAACAACTTGACGAAATATTGCCAAACATCTCTTCAATGTGCGACAAGAACGTTGCAAAAATAAATAGTATTACTTTATCTATTCTCTTAAGGTAATATAGAGAAACATCTTTCCTTCAAAGATAGCAACATAGTGGGTATAAGGCAAATTTCAAGTTGACGGGAAAGAAAATAGGAAACATGGGGGTGGACAGATGGATTTGTACATGACATGTCATTAACTTCTCCACTCCCTACTCTGATGTTGAATCTTTCGGAGTTTTGCCAGGGGTGACATTGTTATTGTTCACTCTTTTCGGTAGTTCAACCATCGGAATCTCCTGGCCATCGTCAGCTTTCTTACCTACAAGGGGGGGGGGGAAGGAATGCGTTAAAAAGATTCAATTCTCGATTAAACATAGATGCGTGTAGAGTTTTGGCTATATTTTTGAATGAGATCTAGAGAAACTGTTAAGAGCCAAAAGGCCGTGCGTAAGAATGTGATGTGGTGGTCGATTTATCAGATGCAATCGGTTCGAGATCTAACCAGTGAATTAAATGGTGGTTTGATAGGTCGCGGAGCTAATTAAGGAGATAGCTCAATGATGATATCCCAAACAGAACAAATCGTTAAAAAAGGGCCAATAGCTGGATTTTGACACTTTTGAGTGATGTTAGGAAGTAAGAGAGCAAAACTGATTGTAATTACGAATGAGAAGGGAGCTCACTCTTTGAAGTTGCACGGAGCATATACATAAATGAACGTCGACGTTGGTGAAAGAAACTTTCTGAAAATATTAAATATGAAAAAGAAGTAAACATCTTCGCTGAAATCAATTGAGATTCAATCTAGAAATGCATCTTTTAATTCAAAAGCTAGCATCATGTTTGGTTTGTTAAGTGAGATACAAGCGAACGCTAAGACGATTACATTAGAATAAAAAAACACAGGAACTAGAGGCAGTCTAGACTATTGGAATGTGATCGAAGTGAAATCGCGTCGACTTAAAAGGATAGAGAATAAAGTGGCGAACCGTCTGGATACTCGTAATAAATGCTAAATCTGAAGAAGTCTCCTAGTGAATCTGCCTTGCGAGAAAGGTAACATAGCTGTGTGTAGTCTCAATTGAAAAGTAATCTACTTTCTACCTTAACTCCCATATTTCAATTTTGACAAAAGTAATACTTGAACGTAGGAAATTTAACAGAGAGATGTCTGAATAGAACAAAGAAAGATGCCCACGATGAAATTACCAAAGACGTAAAAGATGGTCGGTCCTATTTCTCTTTGCAGACAAGCAAACGGTGACACACAATTCACAAACATAGCCTCCTGTGTTCCAATTAGTAAATAATGACTACTAGTCTAAAGTCTAATGAGTATAAGCATAATCTATGCCACTACCGATCCACTCTGTCTTCACGATTGGTTTCTTCTGTCTAATAAATACTGTATTCAATAGTAGAGAGAAATTTTAAATAAGTCGAAACTTACCTGAAGATGTAGAGGAAGTCGTAAGAGGCGAAATACGCATTATCGGTGGAGGCGTCTGAGTCAGCCCGGATTTCTGCAAGAGAGTTGTTGGCGCCGAATCAATGCTTTTATTAGGTCGATTGGTACCAGACAGAAGTGAAGAAATTCTCAGACGTGAGACTTCATCGGTCATGAGAGCTTGCGTAGAAGATCGGGGCTTATCTGACACATTAAGTAGTCTATCGACAAAAAAGCCGTTACTTAATTCACAACTACTTAAAAGCAATGGGTAGTAAGTGAAACTAACAATCTGAGTTTATCCTGTTTGGCAGCTCGAATTTTCTCTAAATGCCGAGTGACTAGCGTATGGATGGTTGAACACTGCATTGAATCAAGGAAACGTAACTTAGTGTTTAATCGATGAAATACATTCGGCAGAAGGGCATTTGAGGTGACTCCTGCCTCCTTCATGAGACGGTGCACAGTAACACTTGACCGATCACCAGATTTGTACACCACGATACTAAGCACCTTGCCATCGGTTGGATCGATATGTAACTCAGTATCCTAGTGAAAACAATGCACGTGATTCTGTAGCTGCAGAGAAAATTTAAATAGGCGAGGTGGATAGTAATTCACCTGAAGGTAGGCAGTAAAGGTTACAACTCCAAAGCCCATCTTTCGAGGACTCGGCTCAAGGAAAATAATTTGAACATCACTGATCAAGAGATATCGTTTTTCAGTCCGTCTGAAGGAGAAAATAAAATTTTGATTTCTAAATGAATAACGCAGAGGTGGAAACAAATTGAGATACGTACCCATTTTGATGAACAACCTCACAACTAAAGATTTGATGATCAGCTACAAATAGTAAATAGTGCGCTATTATTAACCATAACAGAAATGGAGTTGCTTAATTAAAACAGATTAGATAAATTAGTGAAAAAAGTAGATTAAAGAATCAGATAAATCTACTAATCCCCTTGTACTTGGATTACGGTATGCTTACTAACTCCTTCTATTCAAATACTCCAAGAGCACTTAAGTTAATTAAGGCAAGCTTAATAACAGGGTCACCAATGTTTGACTATATGGGTAACTTTCTTTGAGACGTGGCAAATCTAGGATAATTAACGTGCTCAAGTGTTCCCCACTTACAGTAGATTCAATATACTATTTTGTTCTCTCTGGAAATTAGAATCTCGTGGTAGTAGAAACCGCTACGATACGGCAACAAACAGAGGCAAGGCACGTTGAAATACTTTTAATAAAAAATTCGCATTCTATAAATCCTACTGATGTCCAAAATTGACCAGCGAGGGGCATTGACAGGCATTGGTCAGACGTGTCCTTCAAGTAGTGCGTCACTAACTTGTTTGGTGACGACAATGCAAGCTCAGGAGTAGTAGTGCGAATTCATGATAATTGGCCATGTTACTCGTCCATTTTAATAAAATATAAATTTAGTAAGGTTATTTATAATGCCTGCCATTTTAAAACTAGGAATTCCATTGTTTCTTGTAATTATAGCGTTAAACATACTATTAGGTTGGCAACTAAGTCATTGCCCATTTCAAATAAGAAGGCAAATTCGGAATTTTTCTTTAAAAATATAACTTTATTCAATTAGATATTGGCCGTTCTTGTCGATGACCTTTTTCCATCCTTCTGGCAGAGTAAAAATTCCCCCTTCGTAAAATGTCTCGTCTTTGCTATTAAAAAACTGAATTAGGTGTGATCCGACATCATCCGCGTTGTTACAAATTTTACCATTTAAAGAGTTTTGCATGGAACGAAACAAATGGTAATCCGAAGGCGCAAGCTCAGGGCTATATGGTGGGTGTGACAAAACATCCCAACCCAGTTCCAATCATTTTTGCCGAGTAACTAAAGATGTGTGGGGCCTTGCGTTATCATGATGGAAAACAACACCCTCCCGATTTGATAATGCCGGCCGCTTATCTTCAATTGCATCCTTCTTTCAGTTTTTCCAGTTCTTCAACATACACATTTGAATTTATCGTTTGGTTCTGCGGCATGAGTTCAAAATACAAAATTCCTTTGTGATCCCCCCACCAGACTGACAGCATAATCTTTTTTGGTGAATCTCTGCTTTTCATACTCTTTGGGCTGGTTGATCTTCCTTCACCCATGATCTCTTCCGAGTAACATTGTTATAAACTATCCACTTCTCGTCGCCAGTAACTAGGTTCTTCCTCGGAAATGGATCATTCTCATTCTCATTGCGTTTCAGTAGCGGCGAATCACAGATGCTAACTGGTGAGGCATCCATAAATCAAGTTTCTTGACATAACCAAGGGTTTCTAATTTTTTTTCAATGCATGTATGCGACACATTGAGCTTCTCTGCAATATCTCGTGTTGTGCTGTGACGATTTGAATCGATAATGGCCTTGATATGGGTTTCATCCACTTCGACTGGGCGGCCAGATCGTTGTGAATTTTTCAGTGAAAAATCACCGGAACGAAATCTTTCAAACCAACTTCGACACTGCCTTTCTTTTAAGGCTTCATCTCCATATACGGCACATAACTTCTTTTGTGCTTGCGATGCGTTCTTGCCTTTTCGGAAGTAATACAATAAAATGTGTCGGAAGTGCACGTCCTGTTCTTTCAATTTTAAATTGGGATAAAAACAAAACTAAAGAACTAAACAAAAAAAATTTTGTACTAATTAACCTAGAAGCCCATACAGTAAGAAAAAAATATAGGTTAGATGCTCTGGCCACGTTAACAAAACAAAAGAAAGTATAGAGTGAATCTGTCAACAAAAACGGCAATGACTTAGTTGCCAACCCAATAAAAGGGTAAGTTAGTCCACTTAACCATCCTCAAATTAATGGTACTTGTTCATTGAATGACTTGTCATCCAAATTTCATATGCCAATAGATGAGAAAATTAAGCAATTTCAAGGTTATTCCATTTTCATCTCTATTTGTGTCACTGTACTTTTTAGAAGGCTTGCTCTCTACTTATTCACTACACCATCTAACAGCATCTGGAATGGCCTGCAATATGTTACCAAATGAAAGTAGACACTGGATTTATTGATAAAATTAGGGAATCACCTACTGATATCAAAGAAATCGTTGATGCCCACAATGGGTTTGTCTTTTGGTGGAATATTTCCAAATGATGCCAGAGAGAGCACTCTTTCTAAACCCGGCGCAGTGACTTCATTCATTGGTTCACTAGTTGAGGAGGAAATTGTCTTCACCTCGCCATTGAGAAAGATGTATGAACAGAGGTAGCCTTTCAAACAGAGGTAAACTGCAATCATGCGTTGAATGCTCTCCAACTGACTAGAGGGCAGAGAGGTATATGGTGGAATATCCTGCAAATTGAACGACGACAAGGCTTGTGAATTCTCATTGGCAAAAGCGGAGTTCGAAAATGGAGAGGATTGATTCCCCTCTGAATGGTTTGAAAAGAGTTTGAGAGCATCTTCAACATGAGAGAAGAGAAAAACTGTGTTTTCAAGGAGTTTAGAAGGATCCAGCTTCTGAGCCCGGTAGCGACACAACTCAAACTCGAAAATGTCACCAAAATCTGGCTCAGTCTAT